CCCAAAGGGGGTTTTTTTTTTTTTTTTTTTTTTTTTTTTTTTAAGACAAGTGATTAATGAACTGCCATCAGCACATCCTACATACATGGAATATAGTTTCTATATAGTATGAACACAGAGATATAAAATAAGTTATATTTATCTTGGTTTTTTCCATCACAGTAGGAACTCAGCATATCTATAAAGTGACAACAAGAATAGGAACCACACCCAGACCCAAACAAAACAAAAAAGAGATAAGAGGGCAGGGGAGGAAACAAATCTGAAATTGAGGAATTTCTGCTGAAGTACACACCCAGGAAAAACAGAAATTCTATAGAGAATGAAATAAAACATTGAACATTTTTCTTGGCTCAAGACAGATTCTAGATAGGATAAAGCGTAATCATTTGGGAAATGAGCAAGGGCTATTGCTCACAAGCACACATTCAGTAACAGATTATTCATCTGAGAGTGTGGGGTTACATTTAAGATAAGAACATGGGCATGCAGTATGCACTATACATACTTCTGCAATGAAAGGTAAACTGGTCACTTTACAGGCAGGAGAAAGGCTATTCGCTGCCCAACAAGCCCAGCCCCATGTATTATTTGGGGGTGGTAAAGCCAAGGAAATTCCTCCCTTCTGGAGCATCTGATATCTGCCTCCTAAAAAGATTTAAACTATGTAGGGAATACCTTTGTCCCCTCCTCTCAAATTTTCCTTTTGGTTGTATTAGTATTTGCTTAGCCATGCCCTGAGAGTAAGAATCCCACTGGGAGTCCATGGGAGAGAGAGGTGCTCAGTAGTTCTAAAGGACTTCTCCCGCCAGTAATGGGAGAATTCTAGCTGTTGCATTCAGATCAAGATTTCTAAAGCACCTATACATTTGGGTAAGTTCTGATCTGCTCTTTTGGTTCAGCCCAGAGAGACAGGGGCTACTTGTAAAAACAGAACAAAAACCAAAAAAAAAAAACCCACACAAAACTCAGATCTAAAAAGCTGGTTGAAGTTTTAGACATCTGCACTGGTCATGGGTGCTTGTATTTGGAGATTTGGTATTGGCTCACTTAATTATGAAATGCCATTTTCTTTGATCCACAGCTTGGGGACCTTTGTGTGGCTTCTCCTTTATTAACAGGAATTTTGCAAATCTTAGAACATGGCAGAGACCAATTCAAACACCACAAGAAACAGATGAAGCTCAGGAATGGCCAGAAATTATCCTCCAAATCTTTGTGCCTAATTCAACCCAGTCTTGGAAGACAACCCATTCAGTTCTTTCCTCTACCCAGATTCACCAGCTTCTTCCATTACCTCTTTCCTTTCCTTCATCTGTATAAAACTACACATTAGGAAGCAAGGATATGACATAGGAAGAGTTAATTGCATATTATCATGAGAAAGGGTTGAGCTGTTGTTTTACTTTAGGTTTTCCTTTATACATGAACAACATTATAAATCCAAAAGGTGATTTCACATCTAGCAGTATAATTTAAGTAAACTTGCATCTCTGGACCTCCCTCTTTTCCCTCCCCTCTTGCTCTGGTGACCTCTCCTTCACTCTGTTAGTTTTCTCTTGGAAGGAGGGAGGAGATGGGAGGGAAGCTCATTTGGGAGCTCATGACCCTCCAACTTGACCTTTATGAGATGATTGGCCAAGGCAAACTCTTCATCATCCAGCATCCCATCCTTGTCGATGTCAGCCAGTTTCCATATCTTGCCCAGCACAGTGTTAGGCAGCTTGGACCTCACCATCTCTTTCTTGGCATTGGCCCCAGTGATTTTACCATCAACAGGTGAGAGCGTGTAAAAGATCTCATCGTACATGGGCTTGTCCCTGGCTACCACCCATTCTGCATCATCGATTCCTTCTCCTGCTCCTTCCCCATAGCCGTGTCCAAATGGACCATGCAAGGTGCCTTCAAAGGCTCCTCCCTTCACCATCTGGACAGGTCTTTGGGACTCTTCTTGGCGTACCAGCACCATGAGCTGTGCAATGTCATTTGCCAGCATGTCTTCCACTGTCTCTAGCAGTTTGCTTTTCAGTGGCTGGAACTTGCTAAAGTCTTGAGCCTGTAGCTGGTCCTTGAAGAAGAAAAAACAATGTTAGTGAGCATGAATGCAACTTAGCCATGTTTGCCAATAAGCCACCACATCAACACTGCTTTTGCCGCATGTTCCAGACTTGTATCCCTGATGCTGTGGTCCAAGGAGGGAGGTCAGAGCTTTTTTACCAATATGGTAGTAGCTTTCACCCTCAAGCCACAGGTCTCAGACATAAAACAATAGTATTTTATGGCATCTACTATGGAGTGTGCTATTCCCTGCTACTGTGTGCAAATAGGTTGCTCTCCTCATCTTGAAGTGTACCATTTCATAGTACCAAAAACAAAATAAAGCAAAAACAACACCAACAGAAATTCAGCCTACCTCAGTTTCAGAACCAACTGTAGTGTTGCCGTATTTCAACAGCATGCCTTTTGCACACACTGCTAACTTAGAGTACCTGAGGGGTATCTATTGATTTCATTCTCTCTTCTGTAAATCAGGGCATGAGCTGCTTACCTGCATGGATAAGGCACGAATCTTCCCACACTGCATAAGGGGCTGAATACCTAGTTGGATGAGGCTGCTGTTGTTCCACTACAATTATGGTCTTAGTCTTACCTGGTATGACAGAGTGCCTAATTTTCACAGCAAGTAAAAAGTCTTTAGAGCAAGTATTACAACTTCATCCTCTACTGAGCAGGTGATTAATCTACAGCCTTATCCTTCAGCCTCTACTTATTAAAACAAAGTCCATTTACTGCAAAGAGTGGCATAACATTCACATCTTAATAGCCAATGAACTTGAATTTCTAAAAAGGTCCACACTACAAGGCCATGCTCTCAAGGACTTGGAACCTGCTGTGAAGGAACTCCTCCTATCTGCTCCGTGGAGATCTGTTAATGACTTCAACAGTGCACTAATTGGAAACAGGCTGCCTGGATGGAAGCCAATGCTGTATCTGTTCAGATCATTGCCTGTTAGCATATTCAAGACCCTGATCCAATGCTAGTCTGCTGACTTAAAGTGGACATTACATCAGGTCCTCTGGGTGTAGCACAGCAAAATGTGCTTCTCTTTTTCAAGACTGAGGGAGAGAGACAGACACACCTCTTCTCATATCAGCTTTCTGGCTCAATCTCTTTGCAAGAAAAAAAAAGTATGAAGAAAGAGTGCAAAGGTTTAGCCTCTAGGGTGTGTGGGTAAGAACTTCAACAATCTCTTGTAAAACAAGGGGTATTACATGTACTGATGAGGCAGTGAAAGTTGTAAGCCCAAGGCCTAGAATAAGTGACACAAGGAGCTAAACAATTAGTATAAGAGGTTGCGTCAGACTCTAGAAGTGAATGCATTTTCTGTCTGCCAAAGGCTTTTAAGTCTGCCATTGCAGGAAATTTTGATGTCCAGATAGAATACAACAGAATGTTTGCTTCTGTACTATTAGCATCCCTTCACACTTCCACCAGCACAAGTTCAGCATCCTTTCTGACCTACTCAGCTGCTGTAGTGCTCTTGCCTTCAGTGTTCAGTGGTCTAGCCTGGTTCATCTTGTGCTTACCTGCATCTTTCTCAGGTTTGGGAAGTCTCCTGGCGAGATCTGGTGCTCACGTTCAATCCGGGCATAGATCTCCCCCAAGTTGTTCACAAGCTCCTTCTTTTTGTTGTCTTTACCAAACACCGAGGGCATTTCCTTCTTTAGGGAGCTAATGATGTAGGCATGGACCTGAAGGGTATCCCAAGAGATAGAAACAGGAAGAGTGTTAGGAGGGATTATCTAAGCTTTATCATCAATAGATGGTACACATACAGCTACAGTTAGATGCAAAAATATCCTTTTCCATTTTTCCTTTTTATTCCTTAGAACAGTTATTTCTCCCTGCTCATCTTTGCTGATTACTGCTGCAGTACAAATACATGCCATTTTCATTTGTGCACCTATTGATCTGCTAGTGAGGAATGGTAATATTTAGACTATACCCCTTAGGTGTACTGGTAATATTGTTGACAGTTTTGTTTCATTCTATGCCTCCACAGATTATAGGGATAAGGATTACCTGGGCATTATTTTTCATCATGGCCTGGCAATGAACATACCAACATCCAACAGAACAATGTGCAGTGGATATGAGCCACCAGCTCAGTGAGATGGAACAGCCAACACCCATCCTCCACCTACCAAACACTACAAAAAACTCAAGACAACCCACCTTGGCTAACCGTGCACGCTTGATGAGATCATTCAGCTTCCGCAGGGCTGCGTTGCGGGGTAGGCTTTGAATATCCCTGAACAGGTCCTGCTCCTCTGCTTCAAACAGCTTGCGGTTATCAGGGATGAGCAGTGGGTGGGACCAGAAGGAGCCAATATAGACCCTGATCACCTCTGGTGTGTTGACAATCTTGCCCAGGGACCACATGAGGGCACCATACACCCGCATCAACTGCTGGGTCTCAATTTGGTCAGCTTTGTTGAGCACCACCCTCATCTTGTCCTCATGGTTCTTCAGGGCCTTGATGACCTCAGAGAACTCATCCGAGATGTCCAGCTTGTGAGCGTCAAAGAGGAGAATGATGCGGTCAACCCGCTCTGCAAACCACTCCAAGACAGCTGCAAAGTCATAACCTGTAGGGGGTGGAAGAAAAGATACATATGGGAAGAGGGGAAGGCATTTACTGTGCACTGAAGTTTACTACACAGCAAACTGGTGTAGGCCAGTGTCTATACATGCAGGCATTAAAAGTGCAGTAATGCTGTGGACCAGTTTAGGACTAAGGTTAAAAAGTTAGTCTCAAGTCAGTCCAGTGTTACTACACAGTAAAGCATCTACATGTGATACTGTACAGTAACTGAATTGGGCATAAAATTTGATACCTGCATCATGCAGGTATCAAAGTTTACACCCAAGTCAGCATAAGTCATGCTATTTACTGTGAAGCATAGGTGTGCATGTATAGACACTGCCTGTACTGCACAGTAATTTCAGTTACTGTGCAGCAACTATGCATGCAGCCACTAAGGCCAAACTGGCAGAGGCCTAGTATTGCACTACAGGTTGAACAGACTTACTGGTGTACTCCAAAATCCAGTTAAACAGGATGCTAGAAAAATCATCATTTGCCTCTTCTCCACAAACCTGGACCTCAACATTTGTGCTCCCTCCGCCCCCCCATCAGACACTAACTTTTGTGGCTAAAAGACATGACTAGTTTCTTTTACTGACAGTTGTCATCTCTGGACAAGATACAGGTGGAGCACTCTGACCAAGCTTGAAGCCCACACATGCTAACTGCAGTGTTCAGAATACAACCTGGAGTAGCTCTGCGTGTAGCAACCTGACAAGCAAGTCTAGCCTCTTTATTGCTTTCCATTAGCATAACTTACACAAGCTTGTGTGTAGAGTAATTATAGCACCTGTGGCAAGGCTACTCGAAACAGTCCTCCTTCCCAGTTAATAAGTGTATTTTCATGTCTTGTATAGTTCCATGGGGCCATCTTTGGCCTATGGCATGCATAACAAAGGCCACTAATAATGGTTTTTATGAGATGCATCATAGGATAGTGTATGCCAAACATTCAAAGTACCATAGATTTCATATCTTTGAAGTGTACTTTAAGATCAGATTTGTTAGTAATTCCAGGGATGTACCAAAGTTCACATACACCAGAGTTCAGAAGTCATGTCCAGGCCTTAGGTTCTTGGCCTCTCCTCTGAACACTTTACCTTGTGCAACATTAGCATGGAAAATATAAATATAAAATTTTCTTCTCCTGACCATCTGGGATGCCTCTGTTTGCTCACAAGTCTCATGGGAGGCAAGCAAACACAGCTGAAGAGCACCCATTCATGCTACCATTAGGTCACTTTTTGTGCTGCTCAGCATACTGACTAGCTGTTGGCCTCAACCTGCTATAATCTTTTAGGAGAAACTCAGATGTTCTTACTGCCTGCCCCACCATATAAAGCAGCCTCCATTCTTCCTGGGAGGCAAGAGCAAGAGCACCCTACTGCTTCAAAAATTCACATATACAGAAGGCAAGGACACCTGGGCACTGTTCCTGGTTTTGCACTATGTGACAGTAAGCAAATCTAGAGCAGTGGTTCTCAACTCCCCCCCCCCAAATACACCAGCACCCATTTGTAAATATTAGCAACCAGTCCCAACCCAGTGCCCCTCACTCCTGACCTCCTATGGGGCAGGCCCCCTCCCCTCCGAGCTGGAACTCGGCCAGCCTGCAAGGGAAAAACCACCCTGCTTTCCTCTTTTAGAGAAGAATCCATTTCTTAATTTTGTTTGCAACCCTTTCCTATATTCTTGCAACCCAGTTTTGGGTTCTGACCCATGGGTTGAGAAAATGCTGATCTAGAGCAGAGCTGACTAACAAAGTCACCTAGCTTGCAGAACCACACCCAGCCAGCAGGGTTGCCCACAAATCCCAAAGTTTGGAGGCATGGCAAGTGGTAGCAGCATCAACTGCTTTTCCACCTGGAACAACTGTAAGACAGACAAGTACAGTACACCCATTCCAGACCAGCTCGCCTGGGCGTATTGGAAGTCAAAGAACAAGGTATTATACAGATTAACATACAAATACCACCCCCCAAAAAAAACAAAAACCCCCCAAAAAACAAACAAAGACAATTGCTAGGCAGCCAACTTACTGATTGGAGATAACTTTGCCTGGATAGGTTGGTGCATCTAATTCAATTACAGCAAGTGGTCACAAAAGTTTCACTAACTGGGTCAAGGAGGCACATATTTGAATTTTAATACCCCTTGCTTCTCCCTGCCCTTCCCCTCAGGCCAAAGATGACAGTGAATACATACACTACAAGACACCGTTGTAGTCCTCCAATAGTGTTAAAATGAGTCATTCAGAAGCAAACAATGCCACATTTTCCAGGTAGAACAGGGCTACAGTTTATCACCAATTTAACATCCTCCTCCCCCCCCCACCTACCCATCTCTCTCACCTATTGCATCCCATTCCCTCTGATCCTCACTGCCCAGTATTTGCATTTTCACAGACCTGCATTTTGGCTTCTATTGTACCCCAAAAAAAAAACCAACAGGCTCTCTCTATGCCCGAAAGCTTCCAAGGAACAATTTCTCCAACTATTTAGTTGGTCTAATAAAAGATACCACATCCACCCAAAGAACCTAGTCTGCCTAGGGACCAGCCATACAGACACCATCCCTCTGTGCTACATTAAAAGGTACCTCTAATGCGATGTGCAGCCTGCCCCTTCCTCCACAGCTTGTTCTGGCATCATCTTTTGACCATTTCATTGAAATAGCTACATCTTTGCCAACGAGAGAATTAAGCCCCATGAGCAGAACTAGTGATTTCAGAGGCTCTGTAAATGTGTGGGGGCTGGGATTCACCTACATCCTTCAAGTTCTGTGCCAGTGAAACCACTCACAGTTAATAGTAGGCCATGGAAAGTCCCAACGTTTTATAGTCTACTTGCATGTGTTGTGCAGTATTTGACACAAGGGAATTTATGAGCTTTGCTCTTATTTGCACTAGGGAGAAGGATAAGCCTTCCTCTTAGCATGCAGCTGCTGTGGTACTCTAGTTTGACTTACAGTTGCTTGCACCCATAGCTGTGGTTTTATTCAAAAGGAAAATAGGAGTTTAGAAAGGAATTTAAAAAAGAGTTTATGGAGGAGAAGCAAGAAGGAAAGTGGGGAACCAGGGAAGGGGGAATACTGCATAATGAAACCTAAAATGATATGAAAGAAATGGGCATTGGAAATGGCCAGGAGAGAGAACTGCAGTTTACACTGGATTTCAACCTTTGAGCACGTGTTATTGGCAAAGGACCTGGCAATGGTGCTCTCATCAAGCCAAATGCCTGGGGAATAAGTGAGCAGAAGATTTTAGGTGGCTACTTTTTAAATAGATGTTAAAAAAAAAAAAAGGTGTAGGATTCTTAACCCTCAGATGTTTAGGTAAATCAAATACTAGATTAATAGGCCTGGCATAAATTCTAGGGCAAAGATTGAGAGACATGCCAAATACAGATTTAAAATAGGAAATATTTCCCCCCCCCCTACAATGGCTTTCACAAATCAGAACACGTTTTTTAGGTAGTTAAGTGTAGATTTCTGGTGTTAAGCACGGGTTTTAAACATCTGGGGCCTAGACAGGAACACAGGATCTTATTCTCACCTCTCATTGCAGAGGGACACCTGTATATCATAAGTGTTGGTGGAATTACTCTTGACCGACTCCAGTTGATGTTAAAGTCTGGCCACGACACACCATTCACTAGATCATATTGCAAGAGTCAAGAGTTTTCTACCCCCAATTTCCCTTTGCTGTTGCTGTGGGGCGTGGGGCAGTTCTTCATCCTCTGTCCTGTGCCATTGTGGAATGTTGCTGAGTAGTGGCAGAAAGCTGCCAAGAACTAGCTTACACTTGGCTGCATTTCAGCAGTGGGTGAAGTGACCCACGTAGTGTGCATACCTCTATATTTATCAGCATAGATCAGTGGGGTCGGGGGAGGAAGAAGGAGGGTGAAGGGTGTACAGAGGAAAGTTAGCTTCCCAAATGCTTTATAATTGAACAAAGAGGCTACACATGAGTCCAACAGAAAGTGGGAAGAGAACCTGCTGTTCTATTCTATGTGGTGGTTTTGGTATATGCCACTTTCATGTCTGTCCAGTAGCAAGTCAGATCTTTAAAAATGCACCCTCATGTAACTGATGTTGCTTCTTCTACTACCTCTAGGTTTAAATTCAAAAGGCATTAAAAAGGGAAATGAGTCCCAATAGCATTGTGCTAGAAGCAGACAAGATAAACAGGATAATTATTTGTTTCTGTAAGATTTTTCCTGCAGCATACAGATTTCCTTTTGTCTGTTCAAAAGGCACTCCCCAGATTTATCCCAAAGCTGACAACTCCATGAGTCACATGGTGGATTAAGTCCAAAGAGAAACAAGACTTCCCTACCCAGCCCGGATGTCACACAATCCCTGTAGCTAAAAACTTTAGAGTTTAGTTGCATAGGAATCCAAGATCAAGCAAGGATAAAGAGAGACAAGCCACTTATTAGCATCAGATTGCCTTTTCTGGCTTTCAGTTTCCATTGTTCTAAACTCTGACCTCTTTGCAGTTTGGCTTTGTCTTCCCAACCTTTTGGAAAGTTTAAGCCAGATTTCAGCAAGAGCCAGGGGGAAGATGAGTGACAAACTGAAAAAAAGTTTGAAGACTGCTGTAAATCTCTGAAGTGGCACATGTTCTACAGGGGATAGAAAGGGTGAGGGCAGGAGGTAAAGAAGGTGGGGAAAGTGTGAGAAAGATTGAAGAGGGGTCAAACTGTCTAAGGTGAAGAGATGTAGAATGAGAGATGGGAGTGATATAAGGAAGAGAAAGGGACCATAAGATGGGGATAAGTAATGGATGCTACATTCCCCACCACCCACTCATGTTAAACCTAAAACTCCCCCTCCCAACAAAAATCCCAAACAAAACAACCCCCCCCCAGTGTTCCTCTCTAGAAGTAGCACTCCTCCAGCAGTCTTCTCCCACCCTGATGCATTAGGCATGTACATGCTTTTGTAAGCTTGGATTGTCGATATTCCTCAGAATTAAAGAAAAAAAGATGCTTATATGAA